TGTCTTAATAGAAAGTCTTACACTCTAGATTGTCTGAATGTTTTCTCAAGATTAATAAAACTGGAAAAACGTTTTTGGCAAATGCCTTCCTCAGAGGATGTGGAAAACATTTTGGTATGTTGCTACTGCCAGGCAACTATTGGCGATGCCTATAGTATACACTCAACCAACATTTGCCAAAGAAATGACCTTGTGCCGGGCAACTGCCTAAGAGTGTAAGAGTTTGACTTCAAATATCCTGTCCTCGGAGATCCACCACTGTCCTGGAAACAGTGGAAAAATGCTGTGGAACTTATAAGGTGATTCAACAAATGGCCTAGCAGACCCCAAGTAAACTGTGGGTCTTCTGCAGGGCTAGGCTCTCCTGATCATGCTTTTATTGTTAATTTTGTAGTACCAAAGATGAAACCCAGGTTGCTCTACCCACTGAACTACATTCCCAGTCCCAATTATGGTGTTTCAGCAACTGTTTTTGGAGAGAAGGCAGCTTGGTGAAATGCCTATGGCCCAGCCAAGCCGTTACCCCTGAGAGAGAGGCTGGGGAGTTAACTGCTAACCACTTACCATGCCTCTGCCAGTTTGTGCCCAAATCTAGAGCAAGGTTTGAGCCTGGGTGTAGCTGAGGGAATCATTGAAAATGTTTTTACCACACTTGTTGCCAGATTGCCTCATTCATTAAATATCCTCCCTCTTATTCCAAATAAGGACTAAAGGGGGAAAAAAAAGAGGAAGGGAGCAGAAACTGCAGAGAAATTGAGACTTAAAAACTGAGTGTGTTGGTCACAGCTGCCAGCATGGCTTTGGGAAGGTAGCATCTGCTGAAGGGAGGAGCTGGGAGGATACTGTTCCAGTATCAGGGGTCCTTTTCTTGAACTCATTTGCTCAGAAGTGAGGAAGCAGAGATCATCATTCCTGTGGGCCATCCACACAGTCTTCCACTGAGATCACCCTTCTTAGGAGGTTAGCAATACCAAGGGCTGTATGGTTTATAAACATATCTAATGGAGTGTTGATCCAAAGGGAAGTTGTTCCACCCGGGTGCCAAGAGAGGCGCCTCTGCAAGAATGCTGGCCACACAACTTAGGGCTCCATCTGGCAGAGGGACCTGTCTTCAGGAATATCTGGCCTTCTCTTAGGTGTCTCTGTTGCAGACTTGTGCAACTAACCAACATGGACTGCCAGCCTTGAACTCTGAAGTACTAAAACCCACCTCTGTTAGGTTTTCCAGGTACCTCCTGATCAGCTGCTTGCCCACGAAGCTTGTTTCTAGGGAATGATTGTGCCTATTAGGCTAACATATCTATCCTGTTCACTGACCACTGGCATTTAGTTTCTATACAGTAGAGGCACACACACTTCTATGTCTTTGTGGGACAGAGTCAAATTCCCTGTATGAAATGATTTCTGTGTGGGGCTGGGTTCCTGAGTTCTGGAAGATGAGGCTGAGCTCAAGGCCATGATGCATTAAACCAGTGAAAGTGTCTGTGTGGCTGGCTGGGCCCTCCTTACTGTGGCACACTGGGCTCCACTTCTCCTGTCTAGTTCTTCATATTACCCCAACTCTCTATTCTGGTTATTCTTTCTTTTCACTTTGCTTGTAAAATTTCAATCAATTGAACACATGTTGTAGCATCATAATAGTGACAGCTTCTGAAGGCCCCATGAAGAGGCAGTGCTATCCAGTTTGGGGGCTTATAAACTAATTATGATCAAAAACTGGAATCCAAGCCTTTGTCTGTCTACCTTTAATTATTTGTATTTTAAAATATTAAGTTGTGACCTGGAATGGTGGCATAGAGCACTTGGGAGACAGAAGCAGGTGGACCTCTGTGAGTTCGAGGCCAGCCTGGTATATAAAGTGAGTTCCAGAAAAGTCAGAGCTATTACAAAGATAAACTCTGCCTTGAAAAAAAGAAAAACAAACAAAAACAAAAACTCATTAAGTTCTGTATGTGGGTTAGGGAGATTTCCCAGGGAAAAGTATCTTCCATGCGTTCTCTCTGAGTTTCCTTATTCTGAAAATGGGCAAGAAGGCTCTTACTTACTGAAGTTAAAAGAATAATATGGTCTGACTGGAGAAGGCAGCCTATAGTTATGTCTAGTTTGGAGTAGAGCTTTGGGTAAGCCTGATTCATCCAGAGAATTCTTGTTGCCATCTTTCACCTTGAGAGAGAAAGAGAGAGAGAGAGAAAAAAAAAAGATAACCTAGATGCTAAGCCAATGAGAAATAGAGGCCATAGAGGAATGAATGGCCACACTATAGGCTCTGTGCATGCTACATAAGCACTTTACTGACTGAGCACTATCTAGCCTCTCACTTTTAACTTTTTAAGAATGACACCAATGGCTAGACTGTATGAGTCATACACATGTAACTATGTGTGAATATAATCATGAAGTCTTTCAAATTATGTTAAAGGTTATTTTCTTATTGGTCAAACTATCACCATTCTTCTACAATTTCAGCTACTTTTAGTCATTTATTTTAATCTTCTAAGTCAGACATTTCCTGAAGAGTGAAATTAAAACATTTTATGCTTAGATGATATAAAATGCAGGAGAGTGCACCAAAGACACTGAGTTTTAGCTGAAGGAGACGGCCAATTTCAGGACTAACTATAGAAGACCAGCCATCACTGACTGCTCCCAGGACTGGAAGTTCTGCCTGTAATTATGTTACAAAAATATCATCAGAGATAGGCTGTGCCCAGCAGGTGTGTTTTTTAAGTATCCATTGGGAAATACTATCTATTTCAAGAATCTGCTGGGAACAGTCATACCAGGCCTGACCCCACAGAACATATTATGTGCTAAGAATTGCTGCTGAGCACTTCCCAGTCTCAGAAATTAGCCTCTAACAGCCCTACACAGGACTAACTATTCAAAGTAGCCATGTTTTGTACTTTCTCTCTTTCTCTCCCTCCCTACCCACCATGTATTTTGGTTGGTTGATGTTTCACTATGTGGCCATGGCTAGTCTGGAACTCACTATGTAGCCCAGGCTGGCTTTGAATTTGGTCTGATCCTCTAGCCTCTGCTTCGTGAGGGTTGGAATTATAGGTTTGTGGCATCACTCCTAGCCTAAAAGAAGCTGTGTTAAAAAGGCTACTTGAGGTTAGTAAATTATTAGTTAAATAATATCTTGCAGTAAATTTGTTGTGAGCAAAACTGAGCTAGCTGGTAATACACACACACACACACACACACACACACACACTTTAATAATTTCAGCAATGTTTTATATTCATTATAAAGGGTGCCTTGGCCAGCCTCTTCTATCTCCAGGCATAGTAGGAAGCACCGGACTGAGAGAGACTTGGCTTGAAAAAAAATGTAGTTGGGCCAGATATTTAACCTCTCTGATTGTTTCTCTCTTATAAAATAGTGCTATATTCTACTCATAGCTACTAGAGATACTAACGTTGAAAATACCATTACTAACTTAACAGTAAGTACATCGTATGGTACAACCCACTGTATGCTAATACACTACGCAAATCATTGACAACAATTCTCTTCTCATTAACTCTTACCAGCCTTTCTAACGTGGGTACTTTGAAGAGTTAGTCTCTAAGCCCAGGGCAGTTAGAGGCTGATTCCTGAGATCAGCACAATATGTGTCTCACAGGTTGTGAGGTCAGTTTTTAGGCTTTTTGGTACTGTTTCTGGTTCCCCAAAATATCAGACTGACTTTTTAGCTCCTTATCTCTCTGTACAGTGGCTTTCCCTTCCCTCTCCTCCCTGCTAGACTATGACCTCATTATTCCCTAGAAAGGCTGGCTTCCCTGAACCCCATGACTTGATGAGGTCTTTCTCATCTAACCCTGTGGATCTGGACACAGCTCATCTTCAGACTGCACTGCTCTCACTGCTAGAGTTTAGATAGGGAATGTTTCTTAAATGCCTGTATATCAAACTTGGTCCTCAGCTGGGCACTATTGGAAAGTACTGGAAACTTAACAGGTGGGGCCTAAGGGGCTGGTTTAGATCATTGAAGGTATGCCTTAGAGTGGGCTGTGGAACACTGATTCCCCCCTTGTCTGTTTACTGGCTGCCATGAGGCGCATTCTGCGCTACCACAAGTCCCTTGTCACCATCTTCTACATCACAGGCCGCTATTAACCAGGTACTGAAATCTTCCCTTAAAAACAAAACAAGGCAAAACTAGTTTTTATGTGTGTATGCCTACATGTTTGAATGCATGTGTACTTGCCCTGTGTGGGCAGGTGGCCATGGAGACTTGAAGAGGGCATCGGGTTGTGAGTTGCCTCATGTGGGTGCTGGGAACCAAACTGCATTTTTCCATAAGAGCAGCAAAGCAGTCTTAACTTGAGCCATGTCTCTAGCACACTTCCCTTCTTATAAGTTGATTATCTCAGGTGTTCTGTTACAGCAAAATGGACAGTTGATTAACATATCCACTTTTGATATTTCATCGTACTTTGGGGCTTAGTATACCAGGAACAGAACTTAGTACTTTATGTATATTATTAATCACCAAAGTCTCGTCTCACCCCGTCCTATAAATGAGGTATAATTCAGGTTAGCAAATGGAAGCTGAGAGAGGGTCAATGATTTGTGGAAGGTCACAGAAATTCAAGTATGAGCACAATTCCTTTGCAGCCAGTTTTGTAAATTTCTATGGGTTTCCAGGGTTGAGCACAGTGAAGGCATGCAGTGCATGCTCAACATAAAAGCACTTCTACTTTGATTCAACTCAATCATAAACCTCTGTAAGGAAGGAATTCTAATTCATAAAGGCTGGTATCATTGGCAAAAAAAAAAAAAAAAAAAAAAAAGAATGAGCTAATGTGTTGGGGGAGAGCAGTCTAATGCCCTTGAACATAAAGGGGCTTTATTCAGCCTCCAAAATGTGTCCCATAGCACCACTTCTTATTTCTCAATAGCTGTGTTTTTTCTATCACATCTTTGCTCTAAGGTGGTTCCTTGTCACATGCTGGCCCCTTCCCACTTCTAAGGTAGGAGTCCAGAACTGTTGAAATAAACTTCCATTTTATTTTACCAAATATAATTTATCAGTTAAGTTGACATTTGTCAATTCAGTTATAGTAACTATAAATAATTCTCTTAAGACACAGTTCTGTAATTTTTGAAGGATATGAAAGTAAACCAATTTTGTTTCTTCCAGTTAGGCCAAAAGTACATGCAATAGGTGCACCCGGGAGGGAAGAAGTGAAGTCTCCTACTGAAGTCACTTGCCTCTCACTACAGTCCTCCTCTGCTCACAAGCGCCGAGCTTGGGTGTACCTACCTTTCTGTTTTCTAGGCAAAGGAAGAGGGATGCTTTTTCAGTCTCCAGACAACCTGATCCAACTCCAGAAATCAGGGTAAGGTAAGTGGCTGGGGACCCTGGGGCTACAGTCACAGAGTCTGGTTGCCTGTACAAGAGTCTGTGTTTTGGGTGGAGTTAGGCCAGAGGGCAGAGCAGAAACAAGCTCAGATTGGTATTAATCTGCTTGACACAACTGCAACTAGATAACCTCTAGGAATCCTTCCAGTTCTAAGGTTCTATGATTTCAGATGATATGGGAGAAAATGAGGGTGAGAAAAGAGACTCTGTAGGTCTCAGCACAGTATTTGCAGACACAGGGCATTGTTTAATCCTTTCCTTGGAGGCTGATCTTTTAGGCTGCACAGGGGAGGAATTTATGGGCTCTTGACAAAACAGGCTAGAAAAACACCTGCACCCCAGTTGTTGAGCCATTTGGAACTATGTGTGGGGAGTGGGCTCCAGTTTTCTTCTAATCATGTACAAAACAGATACTGAAGCAGCCAAATGATGTCCATCTTGCTAATTCTAAATTCTCTTCTGAGTGCGTAGAGAAGGTGAGGGGAGGGCATTTTAGGACACGAAACTGCTTGAGTAATGGGGTTGGCAATCACTGCAGAGTTAGGGTCTAAAGAGGGAATGAGGCAGAACTTGCCTTGAAGTAGGCACAGATACCTACAATGAGGGGACTTTACCGCCAGATTGAAAGGGGTGCATGGCCTCTGTAACGCAGGGAATGAGGTGAGGTTAGAGATGTGACCCTCTTAGCACTGGCTAGTCAATGTCTGGCACTGTACCTAACACAGTAGGCACCCCATAACTATTGCTCAGTGAAGAATTATTGCAGGCCACACCATGGAAAAAGGCTCATCTTGGGGAGGCCAAGATTTGCTGAATGAGTGAACGAATGGCGAATGGGCAGGAGCCGAGAGAAAGGCCAACCGACCTCTGGTATGACAGAATTGAGTGCTTTTAGGAAGTGACAGAGGCCAAGACAAATCATGTGGTGATGTCCTCATGAGAAACAGCAGTGAGACACCCCCAGGTTCCATCAATCATCATGTCATTTGCCACATTTCCTTGACCTATCCCCAATCTTAAAAGCCTGTCTGGCAAGCTATGGGGAAAGGGAATGATCAGATACAGTTAGAGAGGAGGCCTGAGCAGACACTGGGTTCTCTAGACTCAGGGGGCATGTGGACATTTGGAAACCTGTGGGTGACGTGGATCTACAAGGAGCATCAGGCCACCACTCATCCAGCTACAAAGTGGGGTCAGGCAGTCGGGCAAGGCACATGTGCACAGATGGAATTGTCAGTTCACCTGACTCTGGCCTAGAACAGAGCTGTGACTACTAGGAGCTGAAACAACTTTCACCTGCTCAGTGCTTTGAAGTTGGTCCATTTCTATACAAGTACATGCAGCTGTGGGAGTGTTAATTATCCCTCCCCCCTCTCTGAAACCAAACCAAAAACAACCCAGAGCCCATTTATAAAGAGCTTCTCCTTAGGGCCAAGGCTGCGGTTGCTAAAGCTAATGCAAAGGTCCCCAGATGCCAGACAGAATGCCAAGGTCCCAATCTACCGCCCTGGAGGCACCCTCTCACCCCATGGAATTGCACTTGGTGATTGTCTCAGAGGTCTTCCTTTACTGCTTATTTCAGCCCATCTGTCCTTCCTGAATTCTCACTATCCAAACTTGGCTCAATGTATAAACATTCCCATTGAAAATAATGAGAATTTTGTATCAAAGTGAAATCCCAGAAAGACTGTGGGAGTGTAGTGTAGGGTTGGGTAGGAAAATAAGAGGAGAAAAAAATCTAAATAGAAAGTGCAGAAGGGTGGGGAAAAGGCTGAGTGGCTATGCTAGTCCCCAACGTCTGTGTCTCTGTCCCCAATGAGCCAGAGGACATGGAAGCTGAGTGCCAGGAGCCCAGTGCCAAGAAGGTCCCCCAGAGCAGTCAAGTATGGGATGGAGAAGTTGTCTGGGTCCAGGCCCCGGCCCCACATCCAGTGCACCATCCAATCTGCGATGTACAGGAGAATCAGCACCTGGAGAGACAGAAGGGTTCTGCCTGTGACCACCCTCTTTCTGCAGAGGGAGCCAGAGGCCACATGACAGGACCTGTGCACTGTGTCAAAAGGCTTGGCTAGTCACAACCTTTTTGTGTGTTCACAAAAACACACCAAGCCAGTTCACACCAAGCCAGAGGTTTTCTAAACTAAATCCTATCCTTACAGGAACTATGCCCTTGCCTCTAATTCTGCATCAGACCATTCTTAGTTACTGCAATTCCTGCCATGTTAGCTCCTCCAGGAGCCTGGTGGGGGCTGGCAGTTAGAGCCGGTTTCTCTGATGAGGCCCTCTCTCCTCTCTCATCTGGTAACAGTTGACTATCCAAGCTGCTTTCTCTTCATTCTTTTCATCCTGGTGTTGTGAACTAAAAGAATCTGAGTTTATTCTAATATTCATTTGTAAGATAGGTTTATTACAACATCAGCTAAATATAAAGTCAGTTGTCATGCATAGCAGTTTCAAACACATGGTGGATTATCTAGTACTTTATCTGCACCCTCGCTTATCTTCTGTAATATAGATGGTTGAGAATAACCAAGATCAGAATCTATTTTACTGGACCCTGGACCATTTGTATTTTCTATGGTGGGTAGTATGTCAGAAATGTACAACCTCTGGCCTATCGCTGGGCCTTCTGATAGGGATTTGCATTTTAGTAAGATTTACATTGCATTCTACTATTGGAGCTGTGCTTCATCTAAAACATTAGTACCTGCCTTAGGGGGTCCCAAAATGACCATGTATGTCTACATGAGATGCTTTCTAATGGTTAGGCTCTGACATGGACATCTGGTGGGGTTCAGTCTTGACTGTACTTTGTATAGACTGTGGTGTGAAAATTCTGCTGCAAGGGACTCAGGGGCAGGAGCCAGAGCTGTTCCTTATTTTTAGGCAAACCTGGTTGTTTTGGCCACTCACTATTCTAAAACCTTTCACATTCCCCCTGCTCTGCACACAGCTACCTTGCACTCCTATGGCCCTGGCCCTGGCTGTGGTCCAGCCTCCCTGTAACTTCATAGCCTTTCTGACAGAGTGCCAAATTAAGAGTGTGGCTAGAAAGCTGTTAGGATATGCACTAAGATGGAAATGGCAGTAGCTATCTTACTGGGCCAGGTGGAAAAGGGACCTGGTAGAATGTTACGGGGAACAATTGTCAACACATTGCTTCTCCACAGACTTAGAGAAGGAAGCACAGTTAAAACTGACCACAGGAGCTAAAATTGACCACAGGGTCATGGTCCATGATGGGTGATGGAATGAAGGTTTGGCCTTCCAACCCAGGCGAAGGGATGAATGGATACGGCCAGAATAGACCCTTAGCATGCCTATGCTCCTTTCCTGTCAGGGGTGCATCTGACTACATTTGCAAGGGAGCATGGTGATTTTTGGTAACTATTGCTGGGAAACAGTATATTGGTGGTTCTCAGCCCTGCTCTTGCCAAGATTCCTAACACACAACTTTTCTAATGACAGAGTTGGGGTTTTGGAGAGATAATTGTTTATCAACAGGAGATAAGTCTAGTAATCTAATATAGTAATGACCCAGGGGGCCATAGCAAGGCTACATGAGGCTACAAATACAAAGATGTATTTGTCTTGTGCAATGGTTCTGATGCTCGTTCTAGCTGTGGAACCCTTTATTTAAATGAAGCCCAGAATGCAAAACAGAGCCAAATGGAGCTCTGTGACAAGGCCAGCAGGGGGCAGGATATAGGTGGTTGAAGTCCACCTTGTAAGAACCTGCCTGAAAACCCTGCTACTGCTCTATTCCTCTTCCTTTGAGAGTGTGCCACTGAGGATGAGAAGGGACACAACTAGGCTAAAGTCACATAGAATGGTAGTAACTGTTCCAGAGCCTTAGCCAATTCTCCTGAGTCCTGGTCAGAGACAGAAATGCCAAGAGACTATGTCCAAACATGGGGCTCTCATTCCACATGGGCCCCTGGCTTCCCCCATTTCTGCTGTGCCATACCTGGAGCAGTGCAGCTGTCATGTAGAAGATGATGAAGATGAGTGTAAGGGTGGTATGCCCACCCTGCATACAGCTGATGGTGTAGAGGAACACCAGGTGTCCTGGGACCACAAGGAGGAAGAGGACCCGGGCTGAGCGTGAATTCACATCTGGAAGAGCAGACAGGAAGACAGGAAGGGAAGTATTGGCCCCAGGAGGTCACAGGACCGTCAGTGACATATTCTAGGTCAGCACACAGCTCTCCAGGGTATTTTGGGAAAAGACAAGGTCTTATCTGGCCTTCACTCTTCAGAATAGCAGGCAAAGCCCAGCAGAAAAGAACCTTGAACCTGGGCCCCAGGGGCCTCTCTAGTGAGGTTTGTGGCTGCCTGCTCCCTCTCTCTAAGACAGGAATGGACCTGAAAGGTTGAGATGCTGTGGTTACCAGGGCTGAAGAAGGTGGTGCATGGACTGGGGCAGCGGCGAGGAGTTGGCTCGGAGTTCTCCCCTGGCATGCCATTCATGTGGAGGAAGGTGGAGATGCGGCTGGCCTGCACGGCCACCAGATTGCCCCCAACACCTGCAGAGACATACACAGTACTCAGACTGTGGAGTCAGAAGGACTGGGAGGAAACACCTTGTTTTTTGTCCTGTGTCCGTAGGGACCTGTCTTCTACCTTCACTAGAGTCTGTCCAGTCATCACCCTTCCCTCTGGTGCCAAGAGAACAAGACGACAAATACTTCACTGCTTCTAAAGGAACCTTTCAAGGCTCTCAGCTTTCCTTTTGTGCAGCTGTGACAGTTCCATGTACCCTTGAAGTGGCTCTCAGAGTGCTGGCAGGGATGCAGCCTGCCTGTGCACCCATGCAACATGGGCACCTGCCTGCTACACAGCAGGGTCCAGGGCCTCCCTTGCCTTAGCCTTCTCTAGAGCTGGCCCGGGCTCTCAGTGCTCATATATTCATCCAATAACCAGTTTCCAGGAGTAGGTCTGACCCGTAATCTGGCACTGCCCTGGTAAGCTGCTGCTTTGCATTTGCCTTCACCCCACAACCTAGTCCTTGAACTTCTCAGCTTTTCCCTGAGCCCTGCGAGGTGAACTGCTGTAGTGTTCACACCAGTCTCTCTTGCTGGATGCTTCTATTTGGGCTTGTGTAGTGGGAGACACCAGCAGGTAAGCAGGGAGAGGGGCCTAATGTTTTTTTTTTTGTTTGTTTGTTTGTTTTTCTTTCCTGGATCTTTTTCTGCTTATTAGCAAAAGCTCACTTTTGCAGGGGGCAGAGTGGAATTCTAACTGGGCTCCCACAAGACAAGTTCTGGGTCCCCCTGGCCCTTCATGGCTAGAGGATTTCATGTTGCTAATTCTGGGTGTCTCATCTCATGGTCCCCTGTTGGTCCTTTTACCTCTATCTTTTATTAAGTGTTGTCCTTTTTAAGTTAGACTCTCTAGTTTGCTGGAACCCTGAGTGACAAAGAAGCCAACCCCATGTCCCTTTCTGTTCCCCCAGCAGCTGATGCTAAGGTCTCACCATTAATCACAGGTGTGAAGACAGCCATTCCTGCAAAGTTGGGGTCTGAGACAGTCTTGTCCAAGATGAGGCCTCCCACACTACAGAGACATGAAGACAAATGATACAAAAGGCCACTGAAAGGTTCTGCTTTAGTCTCTGGAATGAGATGCAAGGCCTACTTAACCTTGGGGACAAGGACAGCAAAGTGGCTTCCAGGAGTCTCTCCTTTCAGTCTTTAGTTCTCTTGCATGCAACAGTTGTTACCCATAATCTGACTTGGCATAGTGACTCTGGTACAAGAAGTGTGAGCAGGGCCACCTTCCTGTGAGGACCCCACTTGCCTGTCTGCTCAGCACTGATTTCCTCGATGGTATTGGCATTGGCTCCTTCTTGAGGAAACCAGCTCTCTTAAATTCAGTCACTGTGGTCCAGGTGACACTGCTCCATTTGTGGCTAAGCCTAGGCCATCCAATCAGACAGCTGCATTCCCAAGACCAAGTGACTGATTCAAGGACAGAACTGAGACCAACTGAACAGGAAGCAACACCACTCCATTCTAGGTCTTTGTGCAACTGCTGGAGGAAAGCCGCTCTCTCCTCTTGGGGGAATCGGGAGGAGTCAGAAGAGTGAAAGCCTAGACTGCTGACCCCCACAGAGAAGGCAGAGTAACAGAGTCCCAGGGTCCTTGATGATACTGTGTGTGTCCCTGAATCAGCTGTTTTTTAGTTCCCAAGGTCAATATGTTCTGCTTTGGAATGAAACCTAATGCAGATAGTTCTGTAACTTGGCAGTAGACGGACACATGACTGACACTATTGATGCATTTTGAGTATGTACTTCATTTCTCCCGCCTTGAGGGTTTCAAATGGAGTCTATGGTGAGGTGAGAGTGGTACAGGAGCAGGTACCTACCTGCTGATGGCCATGGCAATAATGACAGGCTCCCAGCCGGAATACAACACTTCCCTTGTGGCTGGGCTTCTTCGGGCCAGCACTACCCAGACAGGCAGAAGGGCCACAAAGAAGGCACACACCAGGGGGTAGATGTATCGCCAGTGCTCTGAGAGGGCAGAGACCAGAAGGAGATAAATATCATGGCTGTAGTACCCAGCTTCCCCCAGCTCAGCCTGTAGATGTCCCAAGAGACCAACACATGCACAGTAATTCCACCCTAAATGCCAGGAAGTGCAGCACCTCATCTCATCATCTGTGAGGCCAGCTTTGTCCATTTTGTAGAGGGAGAAATGAAGCAGAGAGCTTCTCAGCTACTACACTGTTCTTGTTTTGAGACAAGGTTTTGTTATGGTGTCCAAGTTGGCTTTATACTCACTATTCCCTGCTTTCACCTCCCGAGTAGCTGGGATCACAGGTGTGTGCCACCATGCCCAGCTGAAGCAATAAAGTTAACAGAGGCAGAGACCAGACTGTATGATCCCAGAAATCCCTACCTCCCATCCTCTTCTCTAGTTTGCAAGCAGATTCTAGTTTTCTATTTCCTTTCTTGCTTCCACATCTCATCCCTCCAAGAGAAACAAAATCCTTAGGATCAAGTGGGGATGAGTTGTGACACTCTCCCTTTTGCTGCCTGCCTACAGGAACTTAGATCAGTGCCTATCTAGCCTTGCCTCCCGAATACCAGGAGTTGGGACAAACCTTTCATACAGTTAACAATATAGAAAAAAACTTCACATATTTGCAAAATAGTCCTCATCTTTCCCAATCCCACCTTAGAGTACCCAAGGCATTCTCAGTGGCCTTAGCCTTACTCAGTTCTAGGTAGAGTCCCCAGCTGATGCCAGACAGGAGAGCCAATGTGATGAGGTCGCCCAGGCTAGCAGCGATGGGCGTGGCCACATTGTCTGGGTTGATTCCAATTTTTCGAGACCCAATGATGACTCCAATCATGATCATACCTGGTGAGGAAGGAGAGGTGGGCCAGGTAGGATAAGAAGGAAAAGAGGGGTCATTAAAAAAAAAAGAAAAAGAGAATGGAGTTGCAAGGAGCAGCATCCTTATCCCTCGCCTTCTTCCCTTCCTTACCCAGCACCAAGGAGGCAATGAAGGCTGTAGCCACGCTGCTGGCACATAGCAGGAAGGCATGCGGGATACTAAAGTGGCCATCAGGGATCCAGCCAAAGACAACGGCTGCGATGGATGCCAGGAAGCCTACCACTGTGGCCTGTACCTGGGGAGAGATGTGGCAATGTGGAGTCCAGTTAGTTGAGGTCACTGAACACCCAAGGGTCTCTTCCTAGCCCTTAGCAAGCAGGCAGGACTAGACTCTACAGTCCTTGCAGGCAAGAATGATGTCTTTTATTTAGTTTTAGCCCTGTCCCTAGTACAGGGTAGCGAATCCTGCAAAAATCCAGGGCACGTAACTGGCTGGTTGGATGTTTCTCTGGAGATGGGGTGAGAGTCAACAGCCCAGAGATCATTCAGGGTCAAGACCCGGGACTCACTGGTGAAGACATTTGATCTGTGTGGCTTCCTGGGGAGATGGGACAACAGTGGCAGAGAACACTCTAACACTCACGAATCTGATTCTACTGCAAAGATCGGTGAAGGCTCAAAAGCCCCAAAACCACCTAGAGCCTAAATATGTGACATGGAAGCTGCTGGGGCTCTCCCATATCTTGGCCATTTTCCTGAGTAACTAGTCACCTCCTAGCCTACTTTGTAGGATGCTGGACAGTCACTAAGGAGCCAGCTGGGTTGACCTAAGCCTTTCAGGGATTCCTGACTAAGGAGATGCTTAGCCTATTGTCTCTGGTCCATGTTTTCTTACCTGGATAAGGGCCATATTCCCTGTGATCATCCGCCAGAGCTCCTTAGGTGTGTCCATTTGTCCAATGTTGGCCTGAAAGAGGAAGGGTGAGGGGCTGGAGCAAGCTGCACAGAGCTTGGGGCTCTGTCACTCTGGATCAAAAAGCAATGCATGTAGCTTGAGACTCCGGGACTAGAACATGAATGCACTTAAGGCAGGTGCATTCCAGGAAGTGAGAGGAGCTGAGGCAGACTCCATTCTGTCTTGTTTATCCAGGCAGCATGTTCCTGCATGGATCTGCATGACTCTGTCCTGGCTCTGAAGCTGCTTGTTCTCTTAGGGAAGACAAGGTCAGTTGCTGGCCCAGGGCTGAGGCTGACAGTATTTGGAAAAGAGTGGGTAGCACCAGCCATGAGAAAGGAAAAGCAAGTTGGGGTGAGTTAGGCTAGCTGCCCTCTGCACCATCTTTTCCAGACTTGGCTACAGAGGGACATGCCTGGTCCTGAGTTTTAACACCTCTTGCCTCCCAGCCATGGCTTTCTGTTGGGCTCAGTCCATGAAAGGTTGTGGCTGATATAAAGGACTGTGGGAGCTGGAGATGCCTAATCTCTTGAAGAAAAAGCTGCCATGGGGAAAGGGAATGGTTCAAAGGAGTGTGGGGACAGCCTGGCTCTGCTCCTGCCCAGCTGCAGGGTAGGGCTAGAGATCAGAGGAGGCCCCCACCTGTGTGGCTGGAGGGACCAGCATGATGCCTGCCTGTCAAAGCTGCATAAACAGTCACGAGGCAGGTTGCAAAGCAGGAGGTGGGGCAGGCATCCAGGGATGGCTGGGACATCCAGAGTCCGAGCCTGGGAACCATTCTGGGCAGGGAGCCCCTGCCCAGGGACAGGACACTCAGTCTGGGATCTCCCTCCATGACTTCCTTTTCCTCCCCAGGCTCAGGCAGTTGTATAGATACCTACTAGTCTCTGTGTTGCTCATTATTTTTCTCCCTGTCCCTCTCCCCAACTCCCAACAGCTAAGACACTTACTGCGGTGGATAGCCTTGATGCTAGGGTCATTTCCAAGTTCCCTTTGAGCCCCAGCAGTGCAGGCACCAGGATGAAGACCTCTGTCACCTTCTGGAAGACCTCCCAGTGCTATAAGATGAACACAGAGTCCAAGAATTTCAGTACCTTCAAAGGACTGGCATTGACGCTGAACAGAGTGTGGGGTCAGGGGACAGGATGGAGAAACAGACCAGCAGGAACAAGCACACGAGGCAACCTTCCCTTCCCCATCCCCAAGAAATCTAGAAGTAGAACAAGTCCAAGAATTCTAAAAAGCACAGCCCAATCCTCATCCCAGAACAGAAGAGTTTCCTAGCCTGATTATCCCTTTTATATGCTTTTGAGGAGACCCCACAGTTGGCTTGTGACCCACAACTCCTTGATGATACCGTCTCACATAGTGCTCTGCAGCTCCCTTGCCTTCCATCCAGTTTCTCTGTGGCCTCAGCCTTGGGAGGTGTTGTCTCAGCTGTGGAGAGCTGGGCTCCACAGGGCTAGGCCCCGGTGATTAGTGCATTTGTTTGGTTTCTATTTCCAAGGGCTTTGGGTCTCAGCCACAGTGACTTTCCTGAGCAGGCTCTGAATTTAGATGGCGCTTTTCCTATGCTGGTCTGCAAGAGATTTTTGATTCCTCTCTCTACCCCCATCTCTTAGCTAACAGAAGCAAATATACCCCTGCTGAGAGAGGCTGGGCCTGGAGTCAGGAGGCATGGGTCTTAGTTCAGGGTCAAACAGTCCTCCTGGCTCTCCCATTAACTTTGTTTTTGGGTTTTTTTTTTTTTTTTTTTTTTTTTTTTTGTTTTGTTTGAAACAGGGTTTCTCTGTGTAGCCTTGGCTGTCCTGGACTCGCTTTGTAGACCAGGCTGGCTTTGAACTCACAGAGATCCAAATGCTACTGCCTCCCCAAGCACTGAGACCAAGGGTGTGCACCACCAAGCCCAGCTTCACACCAGCTTGGCTGACATATGTTAATGTATTTTCTCGTTTGGTCACCTCAACAAGTCAATTAAGGGATACTTTTGTTCCCATTTTGCAGTAAGAAAACTGAGAAACCCAGGTTGGCCACTGAAAGTCCCCTTAGTTGGAACCAAAATGGAAGATTTCCTAAAAAAAATCATATTATGCCTCCCTTCCTGGCCTTAAAGGGCATGGAGTTTTGTAAAAGGCATGCAGGTTTGTAAAGGGAGGAGGGGCAGGCAGCAGGAGGATATACACAGGTTGGTTTGGGTGTTTGGAGACAAGGAGCTGTAATGAGCAAGTGCCCTGGTCTGAAGGCTGGGAGTCCCTTATGAGGGATACAGCATGCTTCCTTATGGTGGCCAGCTGGGGCCCTCAGACAGGTTACAATGGCATCACACTCCTGCTCAAGTGTTCAGTTCAGGGCCAGACCACAGAGCTCGCTCATAAGGCAAAATTCCAGCCCCTCTGCTCTATTACAAAAGAACAAGGCTGCAAATGAAAACCACAGTGAGATGTCACTTCCTACCTGTTAGGATGGCTAACAGGACAGACAGGAAACACCAAGTATCGGAAACAGACATAGAGATCGGAACATTTTTGCATTATTGGTGGGACTATAAAATGTAGCTACTACAAAGTTCCTCATACTAAAAATAAATTGTATGTGGTGGATATGCTTGTATCCCCAGCACTCAGGAGGTATGGGCGCTGCTGAAAGCTCAAGGCTAGCTAGCTACATATCAAGACTCTGTCTTAAAAATAAACAAACAAACCAAGTGATGGTGGTAGTGCCACACACCTTTAATCTTAGCTCTGGAGAGGCTGAAAGAGAGTTCTAGGACAGCCAGGGCTATACAGAGAAACCCTGTCTTGAAAAAAAGTAAAGCAAACCAAGCAAACAAATAAATACACAAACAGGCTGGGGGCATGGCTTGGTCAGTAAACTGTTTGTTGCACAAGCCTGAGTACCTGAGTCTGAGTTCCTAGTGCAGTGTACACACACACACACACACACACACACACACACACACACACACACACGAGTAAATGAATAAGTGATTAAATAAATAGTAAGATCCTAGTACTTCACCTGACTACTTACCCGAGTCTTAAGTATTTATCCAAAGAACTGAAAGAAATCAGGATCTTGAAGAAACATCTATACATTCCTGTTCATAGCTTCACTTATTCATGTCAGCTAAGAGTTAGAAGCGACCCAATGTCCATCAGCAGCTGAGTAGACCAGTAAAATATGGTGTATCAGTACTGAAATAGGACTCTGCCTTGAAAAGGAAATCCCATCCCATGCTACAATGTGGAGGAATCTTTAGGACATTATACCAATCGAGCCAGGCACAAGGCAAATATTGTATGATCCCACTTACATGAGCTCTGAAGTAGATACCACATACAGAAACAAACAAACAAACAAACAAACAAACAAATTGTCGTTGCTAAGGGCTGAGGCCCTGGAGAGAAAAGAATCAGCATTCTAGGGATACAGAGTGGAACTAGCAACACACTTTACACATTTTAAAATGGCTACAGTGTTTTTTCATGTTATGTGATTTTTCTGCAACATAAAAAACAAACAAACATACAAACAACCCTGGCAGCGTCTGTAATCCTAGCATTTAGATGCTGAGGCAGTAGGATTGGGAGCCTGAAGATAGCTAGAGGTACAAAGAGAGACTTTATTTGAAACAAACAAACAAACATACACAAGGCCACCAGAGGGGGCTGGGCCAGGGAACAGAGGCTAAAACACTGGGTGGTCCTATAAGGCAAAGACTTTGCCTTTTTGTTAGTGTTGTTGGGGTGTGTGTGGTGTAGACAGGACACAGAAAATAGCTCATTTCTCCAGGGCTACAGCATACCCTTGTCTGAGCTCCTGGCCTAGAACTCCTTTTACTGTCTCCTAAAGGACTAGACTCTGGATTCTCTCATGGAAGAAGAGGCACTCCCACCTCCACAGCTGTTCTGATCTGGGGAAGGTAAATGTCTTCTCTCCTCCCAGGCAACCCCTGTGAGGTGCCTCATGAGCCCTGGACTGTTACTCTTGGACAAGGCTGGGACATACACCCCTGGGCATCCTTTTAGCTGAGGCCCAATCACACTTGGCCTTCTCAGATTGGATAAGCAGCTTCAGAGAGAGAAGAATTCTTCCCCTCACTTGACAAGTGTGCTGAATGTGGGCTTTTGGAGCTCTCTCAGAACACAGGCCCATATCCTATCCTGGCCCTAAATGCCTCCCTTCCTGTGCCTAAGCTTCTTGCTCCCTGAATGCTCAGCTTTCTAGGGAGTTGAGGGTGATGGGCATATGCCAGTAGAGAGAAAAGACCAGAAGGAAGCGCTTTAAGTTTATGCAATGGACATTTTCTGAACTGTTTGTAAGAAGTATAGCATGTCTTTATTACCAAGGAAAAAAAATACAGCTGGTCATGGTGGGACATGCTTTTAAGTCTGCTGTTCAGGATGATGAGGCAAGTTGTGAGTTAGAGTCTAGCCTGGGCTAAAAGCAATAAGAGCCTAGAGGAAAGAATGTATAAAGTTCAGTTAACTTTCCTAGCTGCCAACATAAACACCCTTAATTTTTTCCTTTCAATACATACATGTCCTCTGCTTTTAATTACAGGGGGATCTAGAAGTTGTGGGGGTTTTGGAAGGGCTGAGATGGGACATGTGGGCAAGGGAAAGGATCAGGGCCTGTAGCCCCATGCAGAAGTCTTACCAACTCACAGAATATGACTCTTACTACCTGACCTTTTGACCCAACAAATTCCTAAGCCGGTACTTGGTACAGAAGAGCCAATTCCCACATCTATTTTTCCTACCCACAAAACCCTCTCAAGGATGCAGCTCAGGCAGGGAGTCTGTGCCTGTATGCATGCACAGGATGCTGGAAAGCAGAGTCAGCCAGAAAAGCAGGGTGGTCCTGTGGTTAGAGGTTGTGTGATATGGAGCAGTATAGATGAGACTGGTTTTTCTTACTCCTTTGGCTTAATGCAGGCCCAATCTGTTCACCCTTGGCTGGGAGTGTCTGCCCCTGAAGTCAAACCACTCAGCTAAGCCATTAGCCAAGCTACCACCCACACGTTTCATACCAACCGGAATGAAACAGGGTCCAGGAAACTCTGCTTGGCTTGGGGGTAGAAGGGAACACATATGGGTTTTTACTGCTTCTCAGAATCTTAGCCCCTCTTCACTTTGTTCTCTCTCCTCGTTCCTGATATTCTAAAAGTAAGGAATGTGATGAGACAGCTCCTTCCACATTCAAAACTAATCTGGACCCAGAGCCACCACCCTAAGCCTCAGAGCTCAGAGAGCTTGCTGTGACTCCTTCCTTGGCTATCCAACCTGCTCTTCCACCTGCAATCTCATCTGGCAGAGCCTCCTGCTCTGGAAGCATATGAGCAAGAAGTAAAGTCGGGAAGAGAAATAGATGCAATCAGGACATTAACATGACCTAACCCCCAGATCCTAGAACCAGGCACCAAACTGCTTAAGTACTTTTCAGGTAGTCATGGGTCAGGCTGGATCATAGTTTCTATCTGATAGAGGCTTGTCCCACAGGCATCCTGGAGGTGTCCAAGCAGAGGGGCCTCAGGGCAATGCCTGCATGTACAGGGCTGTACGAATGAAGCGTGAGAAAAGGAAATGGTCCTGGTAGCACACAAGGGGCAGAGATGGTCAGAGCAGAAGGTGGTCAAGGGAGACAGGATCTGAGCGTCCTGCCCAGGATCTCCAGCAGCCTCCAGGAAAAGAGGTCTGTTTTCCTCCCACAACCACTTCCCCAAGGCCATGCTGCCATCCAATTTCTTCTTTGAAGGTACAGGGGAGGGAAGTCTACTTTCTTTAGCTACTCAGCAAGTAAAGAAGGAGTTTATTAAAACAAGGACTGGTGAGTCCCCCCGTTCTAATCTAGTTCAGAGTCCCTGTGGAGATCACATATCCCCCCCCACCCCCGTTCCTCACAAGGGCTGATAGGAAATGTATGTAATGCCCTGTAGGAGCCCAGGACAGAACTGGGGGAGGGTCACAAAGCTTAGACAGCTTTATGCAGTCTCTTTCTGAAGCCAACATTGGGCTCACTCCTACAAAGCAAATCTTGGCTGCGGTGAGCAAGTCAGAACAGACTACGGTTTGCTTTCTTTCAAATCTGGAAAATATCTCTGTTCCTTACTTCACTGTGGAAGCTACTGCACAAAGGAAGAGAAGCAAGAGGTCAATCAAGAGACAGAAGCGGGGCTTCTTGGAAAAACCCAGTCTTAGCTGCAGTGGGAACCTTGGGCTAAGGAGGCTATGGGTACTGAAGTTCACATAGCTGCCTGCTGCTCTGAACCACAGAGACCCCGAACAACCAGCAGATGGCCCTATCTTAGGCACTTCACTTCAGGTTATTTATCCTGTAAGGGGGGGACACAGGTGTGACTTCTGCATCCAAAAGCATCTATTGTTCCCATCACTCCCCCAATGTAGAGTAAGAACCTCTCTGTGGCTCCCTGCCCATGTCCTCCCATACTCACCCACTCCAGTCATCTTGCTGTAGCCATCTGTGGGCCCTGCTTTAGCCTAGCTGTGGTGAAAGCATGAGGGAGGGGCATAAGGACAAGCCAGTCATTGTCATCTACACCAACTGAACCCTAGCTCTGGTATAAGCCAAGATGCCACACTGAGGGAGATGCCAGCCCTCTGTGGGAATGCTGGGCAGCTCCAGGTCCTTACTACCTAAATTCCCCAATGTCTCAGGTCCATGGGCATAAGGCAAGGCATCAGCAGGCAGTTCCTACTCTGGAACCCTGACATGCCAAAGGGTGATGGTTGGATCCTCCTCTCCCTTTGGCTCTTGTTCACTTTAAAAGCCAATGCCAATTGTTCTGGTTCCCAGTCTGTCCGGTTCTTCAAGATAAGACAAAAACAGCAGGCTTCTCACAGTCTTAAGCCAGTCTGTAAATCCTGGCCATAATGAAGGCCACAAGGGTTAGAGACACAGGCTCTGGGAGAGATGACCAGTGGCATTTTTTTTCTTTCTTTTGTTTTTCAAGACAGGGTTCCTCTGTATAACAGCCCTGGCTGTCCTGGAGCTCGATTTGTTAACCAGGCTGGCCTCGAACTTATAGAGATCCACCAGCAGGGGATTAAAGGTACATGCCACCACTTCCCCACTGACCAGTGGCATTTCTATGCCACAATTTCCCATCTACAAAATGGTAATCAATGCCTTTTTCCTACTTTTTAAGCTTACAGGAAGGGTCAATGGGGGCCCTCCGTTATCATCACCATTATCAGAAAATAAGCTAAATGTCTCCTAGTTCACCACAGGATGCTGGTTTTATAGCCACCTTGTTTTTGTACTGTGGTGCTGGGGATAGAAAAGGGCTGAACCACTGAACCACACCCTGCAGCTCTTTATAGGCACTAATCTAGGACCCCAAAATGGTAAGAATGAGAAAAGGACCTCAGAAAGGAGAGGTGAGGCAGTATCATGTCTCCTCCCCTTCTTCCTCTCCCTGCTCTCAGCACCAGGAAAAGGCAACCAGCATGGAAAGAGTCCCAAGCCCTGGACTGGCTTCCTAACCTCCATGTTAGAACAGTCCTCACAATAACAGGTTTGAGGAGAAGGGGAAGCAGCACCAGGCACTTTTGCAAGCTATACATATAATTCTCATGAGCTTCCAAAGTTGCAGGCTTCTCCTGTAAGACTCGGGGTCTACAGGACATTATAAACTGCACCTAAAACCAACCACCTTCAGTCACCTGAGACAGTGCTGCAGACCCCTATAGCAGTCTCTGTGTGCATGGCGTGCAGTGTTGGCTGGGCACAAGGGGAGATGCCATAGTAAGGGAACCCTGGAGTAGGGGAGGAGTGGTCTCCTAAGACACAGCCCAATCTCTTTCTGCCTATGTACTTACTTTGGAGTACCTATGATAGAGCCAGCACTTAGCAGGCTCTAGATAAATCTTGATTAACTCAGACGAACCTAGTACTGGTAGAAAGTTCTGTGTGCCTCATGAGCTTCAAAAACTATTATCTAAAAGCAAGACTTTCTCTCTCCAACCTGGAGACCCACAGTGCACTACACACAGCATGCCCCTGCCCTCACTCTTAGCTCCTAGGTTCTATCAGCTCCCACTGTTCTTTCTACCTAGCATCCTCATGGAGTACCCTGTTTGCCTAGAGCAAGTCTGTAACAGACAAGGAGCAAAGAGAGATAGTTATGACCAGATCTGGTTACATTCTGTTCCCATCTACAGCACTCAGCTTTTTCAGATCTTATGCCACCTTCCCAAACCATCCTCACTCATCAAGGAGACTGTGCCAAGGATGCATGAAGAAAAGCCATACAAAATGCCTTAAGAGGTTTCTCATTGGATCTGAGACCCTCCTGACAGCTGAGTAAATTCCTGCCCAGCAGGGGAACGAAGGAGAGGCTTGAAAAGGAGAGTTCTTCAGTGGGTATCCTTGAAACCTCCAGTAAAAGGAAAGTAGGCATAAAGAGGAGACCCATCTAGATGTCTCCTATTGAGCTGGACTGAATAGCACTGAGGAGGCACACGGCAAGCAACAGCCTTGCCCCCTCTTCTCCTTTCTGCCTGAGTTCTGGAGTTATATTTGTTACTGTTAGGTAATACTGCTCTGAGCACCTCCCAGGGGCTACTTGGCTTCTCTGAGGCTTCTGAAGAAAGTAACTGAGATAACGATGAAACCAAGGCTGTGATCCAAAGGGAAACAGTATTCTAGGAAACAGCAGTTGCTTCTGACACAGAGATGGAAAGGAAATTCTAAGAGTCACTTTCCCAGAAGGCCAAGGTAGTGAGGGCTTGCAAGTAGAAGTCACCCTCCTCAGGTCTTACCTGCACAATGTCCAACACCATGCCAGCTGCCACGGTCCCAAAGCCTGCCAGAAGGAAGGGGAACAGCACTTGCAGTCCAATGGAAAAGGAGGTCTCTTTGAGCGGGGAGGGTGGCGCAGGGCCGCGGTCTGTGCTGACATCGTCACTTTCATTGCTCTGGCTCCCATTCTCCAGCAGCGCGTCCTCCTCCCGAACTCCCTTGGCGTTAGCTCGAGACTCAGTCACTACCACCTCTACCCCAGCCCCATCAGGCCCCAGGAACTCTGAGGTCCCAGCCAAGGGCTCTCGCCCAGGGCCATCCAAAGAGCAGGGAGAGGAAGTAGGGCCAGTACCGTTAGGCTGGTGGATGTCCTTTGGCTCTGGCTTAGAGGACATGACAGGCAGGGAGGAGAGGAGGGAAGAATTTATTTTTCTTTCTCTCTTCGATTTTTAGCTCAGGAAAGAACTTAGTCTTGGGGTGAATCCAGGCTTGAGTGCCGCAGGACCTCTTCCCACGGCTCTCCACTCCTACCGGACACTGTAAAAACTGATCTATCAAAAGGCAGCCCCATCAAGCAATGCAGCCTGGAGCTGGAAGTTAACAAACTCTTCACTAGATGCAGCAGCTGCCACTAGGGGTGTGGGTGCATGCCCCCAGAAGCTCTGGCTATGCTGAGGGGCAATCTTTGGTTCTCAGTGGCCAGCTCCTCAGGGCAGGGGCATGCAAAAGAAAAGGGCTCCACCTGAGTCTGGAGTGCCTGATACTGCAGCCCTCTTTTGTGCAAAGCTGAATGAGTTCAGATTGTTCAGAACACAGGCTCAACCTGAGGCTGCAGCTTCTTCCCACTCTTGCTGGCTGCCTTTGGCTTCCCACAACCCCTTGGGCTCAGCTGGTCCCAGGACAGTATTTGCTGTCTTTCCCTTCTCTCCCAGAGATCTCTTCCCTTCTTGAGAAGATCTTGTGCTTTTTCAGTTGCCTGGTCCTTAAAGTCACAAGAGTCTGTGTGGAACACCTTATGTGGGAGGAAGGGAAAAAAAGAGAGGAGAATGTTGGTACATGGCAAAACCCACTTCCTACTAGGACGATCTGCAGAGCATGCAATAGTCTACTGCAGAGGTGGATATCTGCTACTCTTTTCCCATAAAATGACACTGTCCCTCTTCATGTGGAGGCCTAGTGGGTTCTAGTCCCAGCATCTTCTCAGCCAGCAAATCACCACCCCACAGGAAGATGCTGTGCAGAAGACCTTGGCATTGCCTTCTGAGCAACCTAGGGTGGGCAGAGATGTGCTCAGGATTTGTCGTCTTGAATAAGAACTCAGTAGGGACTTAAAGACTACTTAAGAGTATTGCCTTAGTTGTAAGTTACAAATTCAGATGTAAGCTCTCTACACAGTTCTTCCTGAATGACTTATCACAAGACAGCAAGACAGGGCAAACACCAGACTGATCATTGAGAGAAGCATCCTTGGACCTCTAATTGCCCTAGGTCCCCTCATCCCCCTGGTCCCCTGGGGTGGGGGTGGAAATACCAGGGGAACTCCCCAGACACTGCGGCAGGGCAAGCTGGCCAGATCAAGGCCAAGAGCCGGAGGCCTGCTACCTACTCCTGCCTTTGAGAGTCAACAGTGTTATGGAAACCCACAGAGGCTGACCCATACTTCTCTCCCTCTATGCTTGGCCCTGTGAGCTTGTCAGATAGGGTATGGCAGTTAACCACATTGAAGAGACAGAGGGTGAAACTATGGTCATTTCCTGCATATTTTGGTTACCTAGCGCCCCCCCCCCCCGTTCCCTAGGGTTACTTATAACTGGACATGGTGCAATTCTTAAAAGCATAAATATCATTAAAAGATGGAGAAGGAGGAAAGAAAAACAAAGCAAGGCAAACCCAAGTGTCACAAGCTAATACACATTTACTCCTCAATCATGTCTCTGTCTTTCCCTGCCCCACTTTTCTTTATTTAAAGGAATCCCTTGGCATTGATTCCAACTTGTTGCACTTCACCAGCATGGCTCTCAATAGTAAAAACTTTCCAGAGGGTTTTGCAGGTATGATGAACAGCCTGCTATTATTCTGAACACTCATGATTAGTCAACTCCAGTTTGGTTAGTACTGAATCAAACTCCAGGGCCCAAGTTATGAATCTTCCATCAACTAGGTCGCCAGCCAAGCCACCTTAACACAGCACCGTTGTTTTCAAGGATCCTCACCAGTCAGCCGGCGAGGGAACACTCTGAGTCCACCGCACTCATGCCAGCAAAGTTTCTGAGTTAGTCGCTAAAACCTGACAGCCCCACTCCTCCCATCTTGCTGGCAGGCCACTTTAACTTGGAAGGGGGCTACCAAGGTGGCAGACCAGTCCCTCAACTACATCTCTAGTAAGGCCACTACCGATGGGCCGCAGGCCCTAGGACACCCCATCTCCTTTCCAGGTGGGGGGCGGACAAAAAAAAAAAAAGATCTTTTGGGTATCCCCAACTACAGCAGTGGGAAAGAGGAGTAACTGGATGGCTTTCCCTGCAACTCAGACTGCAAAAGCATTACATGCTTGAGCTCCCGCCCTCCCCCACATACCCCCAGACCCAACAACACTGACCTGCGTCTTGCTGGGGAGGAAGAACGCCTGGAGAGTAGCAGCAGGGGCCCGCGGTATCGGGGGGTGCAGGGTACCCCCTGTTCTCATCACTCCTTTCCCTCAGCCGTCCTCCTCGAGACCCCGCGTGTGCCCCGCTACACCCCCAGCCAAGGCAAGCGTCCAACCGCGACACCCGGCTCGCTACATTTCGCTTCTGCCTTCCTGAGAGGCCGCCGCTCTGATTCCACGATGGGGAGGTGGCCTGGAGGGCAGGATATTCCGCCTCGGGCCGGCAGAGACCGGACGGAGCCTGGGGTGCCGAGTTCGCTCGTCCCCAATCGCCTCTTGCCCGCGGACTTGGACAAGAGTGGTTGGCTGTGGGTGGCAAACGTGATCTGGGGCAGAGCGAGTGGCATTCCCCCACTCCATCAAAAATAGATTCAGGATGGACAACTGTATCAGCCAATCAGAGCAGGGAGAGGGGCGGGCCACGCCCAGGCCACGCCCATTTCCCCTCGCTTGGTGTGCCTGGGGCGGTGTAAGGGGAAAAACGCAGCCGAGTGACGGGAACTCAGAGTCAGAGTCAGAGGGTGGCGTGGGCCCACTGTGCTCAAGCGCGCGGGCGAGTGGTGCGCGCCTGAGTTCCCGAGCGCTCGTCTGGCGAGCATGGTATGCAAGTACCCCTGCATCTTGACTATCTCTCATAAGCCTCTGGCCTTCCAGAAGACCCGAAACCACCCCTGTGAGCCGGCCAGCTGGCGATCGCGCGGGCCCCGGACGCCATCGCGTGTTCCTTCCCTGCTCCCAGTCCCTACCTTCTTCTTGGGCACAGTTCCTTTTCTTCAGGCTCCTCATCTCTACTTCTAGGTTCCTTGTTTCCCTGGGCGATTGGCCGAGCCTTGATAGATCTGCCTTAATAAAGTTTCAGGCTTGAAAGGGGTGGTGACGGTCAGGCTGGAGGGAAAATTTGTTTGACTCACAGCTGGTGCTACACACGCCACTGATATAAGGGCGGAGGGGAGCGGGTTTCCTTTGACCCACTCGTGGCCCCTTGGGGAGAGATGGCTCCATCCCTGGCGAAATAAATTCCAACTTTCCCTGACGCACCTTGTGGGATCAAAGAGGAGATTGTTTTCATCCTCTCCTTTTGCCACTTTCCTCCCTGGGGTTTCCCCACCTCGTCAACCCAAACTCGGTACCAGTTCTCTTTGGGTTGTTTTTGTGCAGGCCATGTGCCCTTTCCATAAAGGAACTCCCTCCCATTCAGAGGCTTTCCCTTTTCGTTTTGGAACCTGTGACCACGGGTTCTTTCCTGCCCCCTTGCTGCCTAGAAAGGCGCCTGTGGGCAACGAAGTATATCTCCAGACCATTGAATAAGGATAGGCTGCATCTAGGAGAAGAGAGTGCTAGCTAAGGAGCTTTCCGCACACATGCTCTACAGTAACCTGAGAGGGCCGTCCTGTGGACAATGATGACAAATGTATCCACAAAAGCCTGTCCCCACCTGCCAATCCAGCACCCCTGGGTTCCGCTCAGCAGCTGGGACATCAAAGGCCTCCATATTTTAAAGACCCGGCAAAACAAATGTCACTGTAGAAGAACTCCAGTTTTGGCTTCACATCTCAGTCTGTGCTTGGATATGGAAGTTACTCCCAGACTGGTAAACACTAGGTCTTCTCCAGAAGGATCAGCTTTGTGAACAGTGAGTGTAGATTGGGAGGGAAATTAAGACTGACCGATGTGGCTGCCTGAGTGTTGGTAATCTTAGCCCTTGGAAGGCAGAGGCAGGAGAATTCTCCAAAATCGAGGCCATCTTAATCTACAGAGAGAGTGCCAGGATAGTTAGGGCTATATAGTTGAGACTGTGTCTTAAAAAAAAACAAAAACAAAAACAAAAAAAAAACAACCAAAACTTTCACCCAATAACAACTTACAAATAAAATCTTTGTCTTTCTCTATTATTTTCCCCCTTTTTATCATCTTAAAAGCTTTTTCTTTTCAACTGAAGTAATCCAAATACATATAAAAGTGCATAAAACCTAGAGTGTATACTAATAAATTATGACATAGTGAACAGGCCCATCTAGCCACTACCAAAAGTAAGAATTCAGTCAGTACTGCCATCCTAGAACCCCTCTTGTGTAGAAGAATTTTAATTCAGAACATGGCTGCTCTGACAAGAGATCACATCCAAAGAAGACTTTCTAGGTCTGTGTGATCCAGCTGGAACACAGACATGCCGTTAATCCCAGGAGACAGAGGCAAGCAGATCTGAGTTTAAGGCCAGCCTTATATAGAGCAAATTTCAGGTAAAGAAATGCTTAGGTCCAGGTGGGGTGGTATACACCTTTAATCCCAGGACTCAGGAGACAGAGGCAGGAAGATCTCTGAGTTCCAGTCAGTTCAGTTGAGTCAGTGAGTTGAGAGGCAGTACAAAGGAACTGAGTTTATGGTAGTTCAGTTTGTGGAATTCAGAGGCAATTTTATCGGGAGAGTTTTACAGAAGACCAGTTGAAGAGACAAGCTAGACACAGGTGAAGACAGAACAAGCCAGAGAATGAGAAGAATCCAGAAGATTAGAAAAGATTGCTAAAGTTAGTTTGAGGCCAAGCAGAGCATTTCACTTAGAAGCTGAGAGAAGCCAGTTTGAATCAGTCAGTTTGGAGAGGAGTTTGAACCAGAACACCTGAATTAAACCAGCCAGTAAGAGTTCAGAAAGAGCTAGAAAGGGTGAGCTTATTCAGCAGTAAGTCTCAGAGGCTGAAAACATTCTAGGCTTAGATTAGATTGTACAGAGCCTATACTTCCAAGAAGAGGCCTAGGTTAGCAGATGGAGGCAGTAAGCTTCTGAGTCGACATTTAAGACATTTGAATAAAAGTTACTTTTATGTCTTTGGTTATTATCTCACCCCTCTTCCCTAAGGCAACCTCTGTCTACACTGTTATTTTTGTCTGTCAGTGTTTGGACTTTATATAACGGGACCACTCAGGAGGTATGAGTCTGGGCCTAATTTCTCTCACTCATATGATAACATTATTTAATTTACCTTCATTGAAGTGTAATGTCACTAAGTGAGCATAACATGATTTGTATCTGTTGACACAAATTTAAGTTGTTTTCAGGTGCAATTATTATGAGTCTGCTATGGCATCTTTTTTGTTTGTTTTTGAAACAGAGTCTCCCTGTAGCCCTTGTTGTCCTAGTATTCTCTCTGTATACCAGGCTGCCTCAAATTCTCAGAGATCTGCCTACCTCTGTCTCTGCTGCTTAAATGCTTGGATTAAAAGCATATGCCACTCTGCCCAGCCTAAATTTATACATTGGAACAGGACCAGATCATAGGGCAGGCAAGTGTTTAGCCTTAGCAAATGCTACTAAATAATTTTCCAATGTGCTTTTACTAATTTATACTTTTTCTAAGAATGCCCTATTGTTATTAACAATGGTACTATCAATCTGAAAAGATTAAAGTAGCACCCAAGAGGCAGGCAGAGACAAGTTGATCTCTATGGTTCAAGGTCAGCCTGCTCTACGTAGTGAGTTCCAGGCTTGCCTAGACTACCATAAGGAAACCTTGTCAAAAAACAAAACAAAACCAAAAAATTGTAGACATTCTAGTAGATGAGTGGTGGTGTTTCATTGTGACTTAAATTTGTAGTGCTCTGGCAGCCAATGAGGCTGAGCACTTTTTCACACATTTCTTTCTTCGCCATTTGGATAGTTGTGAAGTATTATCAGCTTTCCTCCGGGCTTGTCAGGAGTTCATAGATTTTTGGACATGAGTCCTCCATTAGCTTTGGGTATTACAAATATTTCTTTAAGTACAGAAGCCCTTATCTTGGGATGTCCTGAGGTGTCAGAACCACTGGGACAAGACTATGACGTCTATGCTTTGATCACTTATGTATCTCTAGCACTTGGCACACAGTAAGTACTCAGTAAGTATGATGAATGACTGATGGGGGGGAAGATAGGAGACACTTTCCTATTTAGTGCAGCCTATGTTATGCTAATTCCTAGAGTTAAACAGCAAGAGAGCCTGGGGGAAGCACATTTCCTTCCAGTCCAGCCAGCTGTAACCTTGGGAAAAGGAAGACATCTCACCCTTTCTGTACCAAGAGAGAGCAGAAATAGCTACAGTCAGTGAAGTGAAAAACACAGATGTGGAGAGCAAAGGTCACAGATGAAAAGACAGGAATTAGCAGCAGGTAGCAAGAGAGCCAGATACTTCAGGCAAGACTCAGTCATGAGTGTCAGGAAGATAGCGTGGGTCTTTGTAAGACAAGAACCTCTGTATGTCCAAGGAGTATGTAAGCTGGCCTTATGTGCCCACTCTTGGACCAGTGAAATGGCTCAGTGAGTAAAGGCGCTTGCTGCACAAGCCTGGTGACTTAGATCAATTCCTAGTATCCATGTAAAGTTGGAAGGAAAGAACTGATTTTACAGAGTTGTCCTCTGACCTCTACATGTGTACCTGCCCATATACTAATAACAAGAAAAAAATTAAGTTAAAGGTCTGATTTCTTTAAAAAAAAGTCTGTTTTTTTAAAAATCAAATTGTTACTTTTACTAAAAATTATGTGAATGTATATTCACATGGAGTGCAGAAGACATCAGATCTCTTGGAGCTGGAGTTACAGGGATGGTTTCTTGGGATAGCCTTTTTCAGTCTTGCTTGGCATTTGTCCTAATACACAGTTCATTTAGTCTTCTGTCCTGTTGTTCTTCAAAAACCCTGGCCTCCCTTCAGGTATAGATGCTGACCACTGAGCACTTCTTCAAGACCAACTTTGGGAGTTGTCTTGAAACATCATAAAATCCCAGAGTCCCATAGATTCAGAGTCCCTCACCAGTGAGCCATAGTCACAAGACTAGCCCAGCATGGCTGGAAATTTTCCTGAGTTTTGTTTTTCTGAGAGTGTGTACCCCCTCCCATTTTTTCCCCTGCTGTAACCCCTCCCTACTGTCACTCTCCCAGAGGTCAACTTCTTTCCTGCCTCCAGAGCTGAGGTTATATCCCCTTCCGGCTCCATTCAGCTCTAAGAGGATGTAGGGATTCGGGTGATATGGGGAAGTATGGCCATCTGTTCTCAGAATTGCCTTGGCTTCTCTCTACCTGAACTCTCAATTCTCAAACTGTCGTTGACGTCCATGCTAGGATTTCTTCAAAAAGAGTTCCAGGCATTTTACAGCATTTTAGCTGGGCAAATAGCATCTGGCAAAATTATCTTGTGAACTATAACAAGAGGCCATGCTGACACTAAAACAGTAGGGCAGGGTAGAATGTGCCAAAGCTCTGAAACTACATTCTTAGCCACATGTTAGGTATTTGGCCTTGGGTTAGTGCTTGTATATTTCTGAGCCACAGCTCTAATGGGGATACATGAGTGCCTTCCTCAGAAGATTCTGGAT